TGGGCAGATTGAAGTATTTTCTAGGTATTGAGGTCGCTCAGTCTAGCTCAGGTATTGTTATTTCACAGCGGAAGTATGCCTTAGACATTCTTGAGCAGACTGGAATGATGGGTTGCAGACCTATTGACTCTTATATGGATCCGAATGCTAAGCTTCTGCCTGGACAGGGGGAGCCTCTTAGAGACCCTACGAGATATAAGAGGTTGGTTGGCAAATTGAATTACCTCACAGTGATTAGACCTGACATTTCTTTTCCGGTGAGTGTTGTAAGTCAGTTTATGGATTCTCTTTGTGATAGTCACTGGAATGCAGTTGTTCGCATTCTTCGGTATATAAAGTCAGCTCCAGGCAAAAGATTACTATTCGAGGATCGAGGCCACGAGCAGATTGTTGGGTACACAGATGTTGATTGGGCAGGATCACTGTGTTCTAGTAGGAGGTAACTTGGTCTCGTGGAAGAGCAAGAAACAGAATGTAGCTGCTCGATCTAGCGCCGAAGCCGAATATCGGGCCATGGCTATAGCGACGTGTGAGTTAGTTTGGGTCAAGTAGTTGCTCAAGGAGTTAAAGTTCGGAGAAATCAACAAGATGGAACTAGTGTGTGATAACCAAGTTGCTCTTCATATTGCGTCAAATCCAGTGTTCCATGAGAAGACTAAACACATTGAGATCGACTGCCACTTTGTCAGAGAAAAAATACTTTCAGGAGATATTGTTACAAAGTTTGTAAAGTCGAATGATCAACTAGCAGATATTTTCACTAAGTCTCTTACTGGTTCTCGTATTAGCTACATGTGTAACAAGCTCGGTACATATGATGTGTATGCACCGGCTTGAGGGGGAGTGTTAGTTTACAGATATGTATAGTGTAGTCTTGTCCTACATTGGAAGATGAATAATATCTCCTTGTATTGTATTTATTATCCAATATCAATAACATAGTTTCTCCCATGCTTTCTCACAGCAACTAAAGTTCGAGTCAAAATCCTTTAACTACTGAAATATAAACTACTAAGTATCATTGTTTTGATATCAATAATTGTTATCAGTTCAAATAGGGAAGCAACATTGTTCTAAATCAAGCTTTTCACAACCACCGATACGACAAAACACAAATGACATAAGACTTCATCTTAAAAATCACATGAGCCTCAAGGCACAGCCTGAAACTAAAAGACAAACAACTGAAGTGTATAAACCATATAGTCAACATATCATTTAAGCTTCAATATGACATAAATAACAGGCCTATGGAATAGAGACCTCTAGTTTCTCCAGCATACTTTCAGATGGGAACACATGTTAACGTCAAAATCTGGAGGGCTTGGATTATTCTTGTAAATCATACATGTTTAACGGGCCGGGTTGACCCGGTTCCGGACCGGCCCAAACCGGTATTAAACCGGACCGGACCAGTGGTAGGAGGCGGGGTAGGGCTGGGTTTGGGGGGTAAGGGGTTGGGACGTTTACATTTTCCTTACCGGTTAACCGGACCGGTCAAACCCGGTCAAGGAAAATCATTGTTGAACCGGTTAACCGGCCCGGCCCGGCCCGGCCCGAACCGGTTCAACGGCTATTTTCTGAATTTTTTTTTTAAAATTCATTTGACCGTTGGCAACGGTCAGCTTCCAATTTGACCATTGTCCAACGGATAATTTGCAAGAATAGCCCTTTTTGGGTAATTTTTTTAAAAAATAACACTTTTAGTAATTACTAATTTAGCCCTTTGAAAAACTATAAATACACCCCCCTCTTCTTCATTTCTTCACTCATCTCTCATTTCTCAAACTTAAATTCGCAATTGTCATTCTCTCATTCTTCACCTAAGTTGCAAGAAACTATTTGGCTCTCATTTTTTTTGGAATTTAATTTATCGTATTATTTGAAGTTTGAAGTTTGAACTTTGAACAATTGACGTTTCTTTGTGGTAACATTGGAGTTGCGAAGATCGTCAAGTGTTTAATTTATTGCGAAATTTGGTGCACTCCCTCCAACTCTTTCTCTTATTTACTATTTTATTTGCATATTTAATTTTTGTTAGTAGTTAAATTTTCACAATGTGTTTAATGCTGCAAAAAGAGTTTGTAATAAGGTTACTAATCGGGGTAATCGGGGAAATAGAAAACTAGATGGAATTATACATACTTATTTTTAAAATGTTGCTACAAATATAGATTGCCAAAAACTGAAGTTGCTAATGCGCATTGTACTGATCCAAACCGTATGTTAACAACTTATACTTGGGAGGCCATTAATGATGTTGTTCAATTTTTACATAAATTTTATATAGCTACTGTTGAGTTTTCTGGAGTATATTACTCTACTGTTACTATGGCTTTAGTACATATAGCTGAAATTTCTTTTCTACTGTTGAGTTTTCTTTTCACCGTTGGGATGGTGGCATGAGAATGAAAAGCAATTTCCTGTTCTTTCCGCTATAGCTCGGGACGTGCTGAATGTGTCAATTTCAACTGTTGCATCAGAGAGTGCATTTAGTAAAGCAAGACAACAACTAGGAGACACCCGTCACTCATTGGGAAGCAATGCTTTGGAAGTTTTAGTATGTTTCAGAGATTGGATTAGATCGGAACGAAGAAATCAGGGACGTGAAGATGTTGATAAACCAGAAGATGGGGAACTTGGAGATATATTAACACATGGTCACCCATCTGAATTTAACACTCCAGAAGATGGCCAAGAAGTTCATATTGATTATGAAGAACTTACTAAGGCAATGCAAAACCTTTGAAGTTCTGGATTTATATTTAATAATTAAACTTTGAATTTACTCTTTTTCGTTAATTTAGTTGTTAAATGTAAACTTTAATTTACAAGTTTGAAATACAAAAAGAACTTGCAAATTATAAGTTTTTTTCCATCTTCATTGTATTCTATTATCTAAAATTTTAATGAAATATTCAAATATAAGGATTTTAAAGCCTTTGCATCCTTTATTCAAACACTCTTTTTATAAGATTGTTTTTTTGTTTTATATTTTTACTTTATCTTAATATAAATTACGGTAGTTATATAAATAAAAAAAAAAAAATTGGCCCGGCCCGGCCCCTTTGGCCCGTAACCGTTCCGGTTCATTAAATCACCGGATGGGCCGGACCCGGTAAAACCGGTTGGAAAAAACCGGTACCGGCCCGGATTGGTGACCGGCCGGTCACATTTTTCTTCAACCCGAACCGGATCGGACCGGCCCCCTGTCACCTTTATTGTAAACTAATGCTATTAACTCTTTGATAAGGTTGACTAATGCTTTTAATGTAAGATAAGATGATAGCTGACTGTAAGTGGCTATGGGAACTTGAACGAACACATAAAATTCATGAAATGGCAAGTGCAGATCACATCATTGAAAAAGAAAATGAGGAAGCAATAGAAATGAGAAAGTTATTATGCAAAGCGCTCCAGACAAATACAGTTTCCAACAGTATTAAAATTCGAGAGAATTCTCTTTTACCTGTCACTATTGGTGCTTGCAGAATCATCTTATGAATCAAATACTTCAGTTCAGCAATTTTGCATGTACTTCAGTAAGGTTCCCTTAAATGAATCATGATGAGTAGCAGAAAAGTAATGGCAGTGCCAACCGATTTAGCAGAAACTAAGCCCTTCTTTTGGATGTTAAATAATGTAGGCACCTCAGGCATAAGCCATTCGATAGAAGATTAATGCATCTGTACAATTAAATGAACGGATTTCTTATCGTAAAGCAAAATAAATGCTTCACTCTGAACATCGGGGCCGAAATAAATCCAGAGCACAAAATAAACAGATGATCTTCAATCATGACTAAATCAACCATCATTAAGACGCTTTCCTCAAAAGCATGCAAAGAGAAAGCAGGATGCATCTCACCAATAAGACTTATTTGCAAGGCATTTATGATAACAAGGATTGGATGATCAAAAAATGATAATGACAAATAAAACCACGGAGATGCCTTGATCTGCTAGCATCAAGCGATGGATAGGGATACCCTGCTCCAAATTCCACTCTGCTCCTACATCAAATCCATCCTCCTCCATAGTTCACGTTCTAGGCGAAACCGCCATGTTAATTAACTCATCGTAAAGAAAGCTCATTGCGTCAAAACTAGGCATATGGATCAACATGGAACTCCATTCAGTTCGCTGACATCCCATTTAGGAATTATCGGAGTAATAAGTTCCAATATTGCAGGATCATATCCTTGAGGCTACAGACAATTGACGCTTCAGCATAACCCAGCCCATCTCTTAAAGTTCAATGCTGCCTCTCTCTTTTTCATCTGTGTTTCTGACTGGAATTTCGGAGCCTTTCCCTTGTAGAGTGTTTTGTGGTACTTTAAGAAAAGGGTACGATACTTGTACTTGTCAATAAACATATTACGTTTCTCCATCATCTCCACAACTTCATTCGCTCGAACAAAGAAACCACCTCTAACAAATGTATAAAGCACAGCATCTAACAGTTCCTGATCAAACTTCATTCCACTAGAAAAAGCAAGAGACTTCATTTCGGCCCATAGTTCCGTCACCTCCACATATTTTCCACCAATGGCGGCATAACCTGTAACCAGAGAATGAAAAGTCTGTGCATTTGGAGCATGTCCCAAACTCCTCATCTTCTTAAAAGCCTTTTCAGCATCTTGCAACAACCTCTTTTTGCAGAAAAAGTGAATTACGTTATTCCAGTCATGAACTCCATAATCTACTTTTTGTCCTTCCTTGATTTCATGCAAAAGCATCATCACTAAACTAGCGTCACCTCCTTCTGCAGACCCTTTGACCAATTTCTCAAATTCTTGATGACCCGTTCTTGGTATCTTAGACTCTTTCATCTCTTTGAACAGATCAAGGGCCCCTTGAGTGTCCTTCTGAAGCGCCCTGGACTGGATCAATACTTCGTAACAGCTTGCATCTACCTGAACCCCAGCTTTACGAGCATCTCTAAGCAGAGATGCAACTTCCCCAGCTCGGTTCTCTTTACAGTATGCTTTCAAAAGAGATGAATAAACAGATGAACCAGTTCTAACGCCAGCCAAGCGCATTTCATCCAGTAGGTCGTGTGCCTGATCTAACCATCCAAGTGAAATACAAGAGTTTATCACATGAACCAAGGAAGAATCATCAACTGAAACCGGAGAATCTTCCTTCTCTGCCTTAATAAGAAATTCTGCAAGATCTTTTGTTCTCCCAGCTTCTAAGAAAGCTTTTACCAATTTAACGTATAATTTCTCAGTAGGCTGGAGAATACCACGTTCACTGGTAATAAATTCGATTTGCTTCTGCAACTTAATTACCAAGACATCAAGTAAGTTTTTAGCAATAATCTGCAGCTTTAAAAACTTTCTGTCTCTACAGAGATCTTCGTACGATACTAAGTTTTCTGATCCATCCGGATTTCGATCAAATGCATCATCGAGGGGAACATTTGCAAGTGATGCATTGCCACTTCTAGAAGCTCCAAGCAGCAAATTAGCTACACCAAGAGAATTTTTAGCTTTCTCTGCCTTCCGAAGCATTTCTAAAACCATGTGGGATGCAGATTCAAGATCTCCAAATTTTAAGTAGCACGAAAGCAAACAATTATAGAACTGACGGAACTGCATCTCAGTCACATTAGGGGCCTCTTCCATGTCTCTCTTAAGCTTCTTGAGCTCCTCCCTTCGTCCATTCTTCTCGTAAATATGAGCCATTATGATTAGTAAGGTAGCATCAGCTTTCAAGTTAATTCGGGGCATCATGTCAAGAAGCTGCTCTGCTTTTCTAGTAGTTCCAAACAGAAGACATCCAGCTAAAGCAATATTAAAACAAGTAGTATTAGGCTTCATGGAAAGTAGAGGTTCGTTGCTCTTTTTACGGGGATCAACTCTTCCATCTTGGAACAAGTAACCTATTTCAAGAACCAATTCAACAGCAAGGTATGCTCCATCAGAGGTTTGTGACATATAAGCCAGGATTGCAGACCAAGCACTCACAGGTGGATACTTTTCCGTTTCGACAAGCTTCCTTACAAGAGTAGATGCAGGAATAGGTAATCCACATTTAGCAAGGGCTAAAGCAAGATAGATAAGAGTATTCCTCCCAAGCAAGTCATGCTTGTTCTCCTCAAATACCTGTTCAACCAAAGCATAAGCCCTCTCCAGCTGTCCAAAATCTGAGCTTTCGGCAAAAGCTGCTACAAGTTTATTAACAATTGATTTTCTAGGAAACCCGGCCATTTGTATGTGCCGCTCATACAAAACCCATGCATCATCAAGTTTATCTTCATCAATCACATTTTCCAACTCCTCAGACATTTTACCAAGGTCTTGAGCCTGGACTAAGATTGTCCCAGCAACAGTAGAAAATGGAGCAATCTGAGCAAACGCATTGCGTTTGACTCCACTCTGAATCTCTATGTTTCCCCGACTGAAGCCACCTAACCGATTGACAAACTCACTACTCCAACCAGACTGAATTGCGTGTTTGAAAACTACATAATGACCATTGAAAGCAAACAACCGGAGCAAAGGAAAAGGGCAAGCTGCTATCCTGAGGTTCAACTTCCTGAGAGCGATCATTTTCTCCAAGTAGCATTCCTAGTTCCTCACTTCATGCTGAATCTTGCCGAATAATTAAAAGAATCACAATGTTAGAGATTAATTACCAAGTTCCTTTTCTTTTGGTTCAAAATCAATATACCAACTTCCCTGACATGCTAACCTTAACTCAGGAGTGGATTACTGATTTAGATGTTTGGGATATGTTGATTTCATGGATTTCAGATGCTACGATTTGAGATGGTTAGAGATTGAATTTGGTTGTACGAATAATTAAAAGATCTCCTAAATGACTTGAAATATACCGTTTCAATCCAAGTGGCTAAAACTCGCAAAATGATGATAAATATTGCACTTTTATGGCATTATTCTTGTTTCCTACTTATTTTAAGAAGATATCAGTAAACATAAAAACATCGGAACCAAATAAAATTGCATATTAACTTGCAAATATCATAACGAAGCATACAAATTGGAGTTGACAATTTCTTTATGCAGTGAAAGTATACCCTGAGCTTGGCAACCCCAATTCAAAATTCTTGTTCTACCATTAAAAAGCATGCTGAAAGCTTGCAATAAAAATGATTAATATTACACCTTTAAATAACCTAATTCCCATTTTTCCTTTTAATATTAAGAAGATTTGAGAGTAACCAATATAGGAAGTAAACAAGATTGCAAAATTAACTTTTAAAAATCAATAAAAAAAAAGTATAAATCAAAATGGAATCTCCCTTTATGCAGTGATAGTATACACTAATCATGACAACCCCAAACCCGCACCCGATGAATATATAATAGATGTCTTCACATACAGGCTTATCACTAAAATATAGTACTTAATTAAAATGCATCTAACCTTAATCTATCAACTAACCATAGTAAATTAGTATGGTTCGGTGTAAACACTGGGTGCGGCTAAATTTTAAATTCTTGTTTTACTATTAAAAAGCATGTTGAAAACCAGCAATATAATGATAAAGTTTACACCTTTATGGCCTTATCCTCCTTTTTTTATTTCTTTTTTCAATTAAGAATATCCCAGAATACTAATTAACATGGAAAGCTAAAATGCATATTAAATTGGAAAAATCAGAAATTGAAGTTGATACTCTTTATGCAGTAACTAACAATAAACACCAAGAACGGGAAAAACCCAGTTCACAGATTCTTGTGTTACCAGTAAAAATAATGCTGCAAAACTAAAAATATAATGATAAAAATTGCACCTTTTAATGGCATTCTCTTTTTTCTTTTTAAAATTTTCTATTAAGAATATTTACAACTAAAGAGGATTGGAAAAAGGGATTACCACAGAGGACAAAAAGGTAACTCACAGCTCGATGTTTTTGCCGGAGAGAAGCAAATTTCGCCGGAGACGGAGAGCGTCGCTAAACTTGGCAGAAGAAGAAAGAAGACTCAGACATAAACTTCACATTGGGCCTCGCAAGAAAAGTTCTTGTTGGGCCAAACATCAACTGGAAGTTGGGCCTATCATCCAATTGGGCGTCAAATGTTATTACTCTCTTTTTTGAGATTTCACATGATTGCTCCCTTTTTAAAAACTATTCTCATAAATGATAGTAGGCTTTGTTTATTCCAAAAACAGCATTCTTTTTTATTTTTTTTAGCATTTTCATGTTGATAACTCCATTAACTAAGGATTCCTCTATATTTTTTAAAAAAAATTTTAATAACAAAATGCATTTAGCACCCAACCTTTTTTTTTACAACAAAAGGAACCAAATGCCGATGTTCCTCTGTGAAGTAGAAAGGACTGGACATGCCCAATCCAATATCAGTTAACACCAAAATGGCCAGCTGTGTTTGTGATGCTATGACTTTTGAGCTTACAAAAAATATACAAAAACAACATATAGATATACAATCTAACTATCATCCTACTCCATCTAGCTGCTGGTTCTTCATTTTTGATCTCCTAAATCTAAATAAAGGCATTTTCCTCCTATCCATTTGATATACCCCCACAATCTTCCTAGACATATCTTGGACATTGAAGAAGATGGTAGCAATAGGTAAAATATTCAATGTAGCACCATATTTTGAAAGTGTGTCTGCCACTGAATTTTCTTCTCTATAGCAGTGTTGGACTTCAATTTGATGACTCTGAATAATCTTTTTCATCTTTAGAATATCATCATGAATCTCCCAAAAAGGTGAAGAAGATCCAGTAAGCATATTAACAATCAATAAAGAGTCCATTTCTAGAATTACATTGTGAATCCTATTGAAGGCAATCCACTCAATTCCAAAAAGTGCAGCTTGTGTTTCAGCCGTATTGTTAGTGCAGAAGTGAAGAGCTTTGGCATATGCCATGACACGCTTTCCACTGTTATCCCTAACAATCCCCCCAATACCGACCACTCTTTTCATAACATTACTACTCTCATCTGTGTTAAGTTTTTAGTCTACCTGAAGGAGGAAGTAACCACATCACCTTGAGAGCTTTCATTGAAGGTTTAACACCTTTCACGAACCTGCAAATTCCAGCCAATCATCTTGCCATTTAATTCCTTTGTAATGAACTTTAAAAAGCATGATTATCAGCGATTGCACTTGATCTAGCAAGCTTTGTATAGAAGCATATGAACCTTCATATTTAGTTGCACACCTTTGTTTCTACAACTCCCAATAGATAATTGAAGGAACACATTAGAGAACAAAATTGTGCGCCTCATTCTAAGGCTTTATGAACCACCGTTTCATCAATGTCTGTTTTAAGTTGCTTGAGATAGTAATACCTACGCTCTGGCTGAAATGTTTCCATACACAATGAGCTTTCTAACTTGAAAAAAAGATGTGAGCAATATAGTCTTCTTGTGCATCTCTACAACAATAGCATTTAGAAGGGCCTTGAATGTCGAACCTTCTTATCACTTCATCAGTTGGTAATCTCCTCTCAAAAGCCTCATCATGAAGAAGGATACCTTAAAGGGGAGTTTTTTATGTCGTATTCTTTATGAGGTCGTGGAGAGATTCCAGTTTGTCTCAACACATGAAAAGCAGTTTTACAAGAGAAATTATCATCATTGGACGGTTTTCAAATAGGCCTATCCAGTTGGTTATCTCCACCAATTGACACTTTCTTGATCTGCTCCAAAATGTAATTTGGTAGAACTTGTCAAACCTCCGGAAAGTTTCATGTCTCACCATCATAGACATGTTTTAATTGCATTTTGGCTGGCTTGGGTCCTTGAGCCACAAATTTAGCTAGCAGTCCCAGTCCAGACCAATCATCTGCATTAGGCTTCCAAAGGATAAGGGGTTCCACCACATGTTTAATCTCCATAAGTATCCTCCATATGTGAGATTGCCCGTGTGCCTCCACTTCTTAGCCACAAGATGTATCCTTTTGCAGTACTTTGCCTCAATACACTTTCTCCACAAGGAATGTTATGTTCTCAATCCCCACCAATTTTTAGCAGCAAAAGTGAGACAAATATCATGTATAGATCAAAAGCCAGCACCACCTTCAAACTCTCCCCAGAAAACCAATGGTGCTTTGGTCTGCCTTCAAACTCTCCCCAGAAAAAGTTACTGATCACCTTTTCAATGTGAATGTGTGTGGTCTTAGGAGGGTTTATTGCAGCCATGATGTGCATAGATATAGACTATAATACTGATTTGATCAAAATAGCTCTTCCTCCGGCAGATATAAGTTTATTGTCACGACCCAAAAACCTAACATATCGTGATGGTACCTATCGTGGAACTAGGCAAGCCGACTCATTCCAAAACAAACCGATATTTTCATTTCAAGGATAATTTCAAGGTTATTTAGCATAAAAACCTTCGTAAAGGAGTTCAAATCAAAATAAAAATGCGGAAAAGAAAAGCCCGACATCGGGGTGTCACTAGTCATAAGCATTTACTATAATCTGTCTAACAATATCAAGACTAACTCAGCCTGAAAAATAGCTAAATACAACTAAAGAAAGATAAGAGGGAGAAGAGTAGGGCTGCGATCGCCAGGCAACTACCTTGCTATCCCCGGGAAAAATCTGCAACCGGAATAGTCAACAGTCGCTACCGTGTCCAAATACGCCTGAATCTGCACACAAGGTGCAGGGAGTAACGTGAGTACGCCAACTCAGTAAGTAACAACAATAAATAAAGATTGAGCAGTAGTGACGAGCAATAAGCATATAAAGTTCATATCATGAAATCTCAGTAAAATACAACATACAAAATCAATATTTGAATCAAATCATCCCGTTTAAACCCAGTTCCAATAAAATCATTTAAAGATATTTTTCAACAGTTTTCAAACAGAGGCTCAATGCAAAGGTGAGCAAAAGTGATGAAATCATAAACAGCCCCTCAGAAAAAATATCACTCATATATAGCCCCTCGGGAAAACCTCACAGTGACTCATGCCTCTCGGGCATACCTCGCAGTCACTCATGCCTCTCGGGCATACCTCACAGTCACTCATGCCACTCGGGCATACCTCACAGTCACTCATGCCACTCGGGCATACCTCACAATCACACGTGTCACTCGGGCATACATCACAATCACTCATGCCTCCCAGTCACTCAGCACTCGGCACTCGCACTCAGTAGGTACCTGCGCTCGCTGGGTGTGTGTACAGACTCTGGAGGGGCTCCTTCAGCCCAAGCGTTATATCAAGCCAAATCATGGCATAAATCACTCAGGCCCTCGGCCTATATCAAACATGTTGCGGCATGCAGCCCGATCCCATAAATATCCTCACAAATCAGGCCCTCGGCCTCACTCAGTTATAAACCTCTCAAGCCACTCAGGCATTTCAGTGAAAATAGGGTATTCAACCCAAAACAACATTTATGCATCAAAACAGAGTAATAAAAACTGAGTTATGCAGTAAACATGTATAACCATGACTGAGTATAAATTTTCAATCGAAAATAGTGAAAGGATAGTAAGAAAAGGCCCCTAAGGGTCCACACAGCATTGGCACAAGGCCCAAAACATGGCATACAGCCCAATTTATAGAAACTTTTTCTAAAACATATAAGTATCATATAGTTTCAACAAAATATACAACTTTATAGTTGCTACGGAACGGACCAAGTCACAATCCCCAACAGTGCATGCCCACACGTTCGTCACCTAGCCCCCGGGCCCCGGGCCCACACGCCTGTCACCAAAACCCGAAATTGGCTCATACTCGGCCCCCGAGCCCACGTCTTGGAATTGGGTAAAAGTCACAAATTACGAACACCCATTTACTCACGAATCCAACCATACTAGTTTCACTCAAATACGACTTCGAATCGACATTCAAATCCCAAAAATTTATTTTATGAAATTTCTACAATTTTTCCCAAATTTCCACCTCAAAGTACTAATCAGATGATGAAATCATTGATATATTCATGTATATTAACCAAATTCGAGTTAGAATCACTTAACCTGATGAATTTTTGAAAAACCCACGAAATATCTCCACAAACCGAGCTCCCTAAGTCTAAAATGTGAAATAATGCCCTAAACCTCGTTTATAAAGTGCACCTCTGGCCTCCCACTTTGCGGTCCGCGAAATTTTGAGTGCGGCCGCGCTTTTGGTGGCTGCACTATTAGGCTTTAGTATTTTGGCCATAACTTTCTCTATAGATGTCCAAATAATGGCTTCTTTACCTTTCTAGCAACTAGACACGAAGGGCTACAACTTTTGTTTTTGAATCATCTCAAAATTCCTTGTAGATCAAAAGATATAGGCTTCCGAATTCGAACTAGTGGATATGCAAAACTTCCAAGCGCGGTCCACGAAATTCTGCTGCGGTCCGCGAAATTCCAAGCACCAGAACCATACCCGAGTTCCGGAAATGCCCTAACTCGCTCAAAACTCATCCCGAAACACACCCGAGCCCCCCGGGACCTCACCCAAACATACAAACTAATCCTAAAACACCATACGAAATTAGTTGAACCTTCGAATCACTAAAAATAACATCAAAACACCAAATTACCCTAGGATTCAAGCCTAAGAACTCCTAAACTTATAAATTCGACAACCGATGATGAAACCAACCAAACCACGTCCAAATGACCTCAAATTTTGCACACACATCACACATGACACTATGAACCTACTCCAACTTCCAGAATTCCATTCCGACCCCGATATCAAATTTTTCACTGCCGACTGAAATCGTCGAAATTCCAACTTTCGCCAATTCAAGCTTAATTCCACTACGGACCTCCAAATCACATTCCGGACGCGCTCCTAACTCCAAAATCACCTAACAAAGCTAATGGAACCATCAGAATTCCAATCCGAGGTCAAATGCTAAAAAGTCAAACTTGGTCAACTCTCCAAATTTAAAACTTCAACAATGAAATTCTTTCTTCCAATTCGATTCCGAAATACCTGCAAACCAAAACTGACGATTCACATAAGTCAA